AAGATACACAGGTTACAGTTCTTGACCTCAAGGAGCTAACAACTTAGTGAAGAATTAAGCCCTGACACAATAAAATATCATAGAAAGTCCGAGGGAAGAGTGATTATTTTTCACTGGATTGATCAAAAACACTTCAGGTGGGGTAGCATGTGAGCAGACCGACCATTTTGAATGTGATAGGTTTCTGAATATTCCAGGTGGAACTCACAGATGCAGCTTAGATATGACGAACAGTCAGAAAATTTCACGTATGAAGCATTTATGTATTTTCGCAGGGTGTATGTGAACTAGAGGGAGATAGGACAGAAATGATGTCAATTTGGATTAGATGAGAAGACTGAGAAGAAGACTTGAATATTGTTGAGAAATTCACATATTGCTCAGTAGAAAATATCTAAGGATTTGTAGTTTTCAAGTGTATAGAAAGTTGACTACAGAAAAATTAGTCAAATGAGGGCATGAAAAATAGATTAAGGAAGAAATTAGAAACACAATCTTGCACCTTAATTTTCAGGATCATTTCCCATCCATAAATTGTTAAAGCCAATCAAATTGCTTAAATATGAAAACATACTAAAAATAGCTAAATTTTATGGATGTTTTAAAAATAACTAAGCTATTAAATTTATTAATTTGTATCATTGTAACACTTTTTGTATAAATGTGTAAGACGGAAGGTTGTAATTTGAAACACCATGATTCAATAATTTATAATTTTGTTAGTTAATGCTGGTCATAATGATTTTTATGTGGTTATTTAAGTGATATAAATCTAGTCTGTCGTTACTACTTTTGGTAAATAATAGTGTAAAATATTGACAGATATAGCTTTTGTGCTATAAAAGTGCTTCAGGTAGCTTACAGTGGAAAACCTAAATTTACATTTTGTTAAAATTTAATGTATAATTAATCTTTTAGGGGAAAAGAACTGAATTGTTTATATGCTGACTGTGTATTAAGTCTCCTGGATCATCTGAATAACCTTTAAGGCAATAAAAGAGATAAATTACATGTAAAGTCCCACTTTTCTTTCAAAAATTGGCTCTAAGCTATGGATTCTCCTACCTTTTGACAGCTTCACAAGCTCTCTTATAGTATATAAGCAAAGTGTTTAATTTGACTGCAATATAGCAGGATATATCTTATTTTGGTTTCAAAAATGAACCTAAAAAAGTATGTTTTGTTTCTGTAAAATACATTTGAATATCAGATAAGTATTGGTGGTGTTTTAAATAAAAACAAATATTTTATTTCCTTATCATTAAATTATTTATTTTTAACAATGTAGGTATGATTTTCACAGATTTTCTTAATACTGAATCAAATATGGTTTTTCAAGCAGTTTGTAAGAATATGGATAACATTATTGGCTATGTAAAGCTCAACATTCAGAAAACTAAGATCATGGCATCTAGTCCCATCACTTGATGGCAAATAGACGGGGAGCAGTGGAAACAGTGGCTGACTTTATTTTTCTGGGCTCCAAAATCATTGCAGATGGTGATTACAGCCAGGAAATTAAAAGACACTTACTCCTTGAAAGGAAAGTTATAACCAACCTAGACAGCATATTAAAAAGCAGAGACATTACTTTGCCAACAAAGGTCCATCTAGTCAAGGCTATGGTTTTTCTAGTAGTCGTGTATGGATGTGAGAGTTGGACTATAAAGAAAGCTGAGCACAGAAGAATTGATGCTTTTGAACTGTGGCGTTGGAGAAGACTCTTGAGAGTTCCTTGGACTGCAAGGAGATCCAACCAGTCCATCCAAAGGAAATCAGTCCTGGGTGTTCATTGGAAGGACTGATGCTGAAGCTGAAACTCCAGTACTTTGGCCACCTGATGTGAAGAGCTGACTCATTGGAAAAGACCCTGATTCTGGGAAAGATTGAAGGCAGGAGGAGAAGGGGACAACAGAGGATGAGATGGTTGGATGCCATCACCAACTCAATGGACACAGGTTTGGGTGGACTCTGGGAGTTGGTGATGGACAGGGAGGCCTGGCGTGCTGTGGTTCATGGGGTTGCAAAGAGTCAGACACAACTGAGCGAATGAACTGAACTGAACTGAACTAAAATAGCTTTTCAATTTTAATTCTCCTATCTTCTTTGTTGAAAGAAGCACATTTTTCTCCAGAAAATAAGCTTGGAACTAAAAACAAATATGAGGCAGATAAAATTTTCTGTTGTTTCATCCATATAAGCCAAAAAGGCCTGTACTTGAATAGTGTATATGTGTGTGCATGTGTGTGTTTGATACTTTGGAGCATAATATGGATTTTATATTAACTTTGAGAAAATTCTTATATTAGAGAGCTTGTAACTAACACCTATCTATCCTTCACCTATCTTTCAAAAAGATCCACATGGAATATTCATATGTTATTATTTCTTACTACTGATTCTGTATTTTATTCTAATTTGTTAAATCTATTTCAAAAAGATGGTGGGGGGGTTCAATTACAGTGCCTAATAAAAAGACCTGTACATAATAACCATTCAATAAATGCTATTAGTGAAAATATTATTTAAAATATTTAGCTATATGTAATTAGTCCTAAGAGAGACTGTCAGGCATATCGAATGTTAGGATCAAAACATAAAAGGCTTTCCTTTTGTAACTAAATATGACTGACCTCCTATCTACTTATCCATAGATCTATCAATCAATTCTCTCTCTCTTCCTGTACAACATATATACTGAGGTTGCTCTATAGACTTACAAAAAGGGGATCCCAATAGCTATAGTTCAGGGAGGCTCTTTTTATACTGACAACAGTTATAATTAGTACCCTTTCAACATGCTGGTCAGTTTTCACTCATATATTCTGACTCTAGAAAAAAATCCAACCACTGGTCTAAAACAGCAAGAGGAATCACGGTGATCGCTTTTGCATTGTGTTTGTAGAGCACAAGTAATTAATTCAGAACATCATGATTTTGAAAGGAATTATTTCTTATTTTATATTGCTGTCTCATTAGTTTTTAGTAAACTATATGTTGAACAAAGTAAAATAGATATGGCTAGAGAGGATTATATTTTACTTACTTCAAAAAATGTGAACCTGTATCAAATGAGAGAGTAACTAATTTCACCTCCCCACTTCACACCCCATCTCTAAGCATTATGAAGTCAGTTAATTAAACAGAATACACAAGAGAGAACTTAAAAAGAAAGTTGACATTACAATAGTTCAGACAGTACTAAGGAAAACAAAAGCTATAAAGATTTAAAGATGCCCTAGGAGAGCGTATAGAGAAAAAGACTGATCCTGTCAGTTGGGATTCATATCATTATATTCCTAAATTTATAGTAAACCTACCCATACCCTACTATGACATTATTCACTGAAATTCTCTTCTGGATATAAAGAGCATGCTTTGAAAATGCAATTTAAAGCTAACCAGATAAAAAATGATCCTTTAAATGATTTTCCTTCAGGCTGTAAATTGACTTGGGAGTCACTCTGTGCACCCAAAATCCAGGTTTACACAAACATATTTTTCCAGACTCGTCTCAAGCACTATGTCTCTTCAAGGGTAGAATAAAAGTCACTTTCGTGACATTTACAAGTCAGTAATTCATGACTTTTGCTGTCTGCGGTTGTCAGGCGCACCTAAGGTTTTAATCCTCCACCTCCACTTATTGATGATCAGATTTGGATAAAGCTACTTTAATTTCTAAAATGAGTTATAATCTTGTCAGAATTAAAAAAGATAATTTGTGTAAGGTACTCACTTTTCAGGAGTGATAAACTGGGGGATCTGTGATCTAATTAGTGGTCTTACCATTAGCATCTCATAATCAAACAAAAGGACTTGGCAGGATGCTGGAGGAGTTGAGTACAGGCCTTGGAAGAAGACATCCTTCCGTGTCTGATTCTGAGCTTTCTTACCAGCCGTGTGAATCTGGGCAAACTGCTCAATTCCTTTAGGCTTCTCATTTCTCGTAAGTAAAGTTAGGAAAATAATACTGGTCTTACTGGATGTTGAAATGTTTAAATAAGATAACACATGTAAAATACTGCACATCATTTTTGGCACCTATGAGAGGCTCAACAAATGGTAGCTATTATTATTGTTAGAGAATTTTTATAATTCTTATGTAAGAATTTTTATAATAAATTTCCTGTTATTGAATTCTTATACAAATATAGGCATTTTAACAATGATAGAAATATGTTTTTATTGTAATTAAATAGATATTTTTCCATTGAAGTACATAGCAAAAACCATGTATATCGTCCTTACAAAGATAGCAATGTGATGGATTTCTAAAATTAAAAAAAAAAGAATAGTGGATCTGGGCTTAGAATGAACATGACATTTAATGCCATGTTAAATGACTTTGGAATACTTTACTTTCCTTATCTCTCATTTTGGTTTTTAATATATTGAGGCTATGAAATTGAGTTCTAATCAAGCCCATGCACCTATATTTAAACTGAAATGCATTTCAGTGGAGTTTGTCTCTTGACCACTGTTTTTATTGATCTAATATAAGGGAGCTGGTGATGGACAGGAAGGCCTAGCGTCTGCAGTCCATGGGGTTGCAAAGAGTCGGACACGACTGAGTGACTGAACTGAACTGAACTGAACAAGTCAAAGCTGCAGAATTTTGAACTAACTGCTAAAATCATTTGCTCATGGCTTTACTCTCTTCCAAGTATTCATTAGTATCATGTTATGATACTAATGCTCACCGAGATTGGCAAACAGTTAGGCAAACACCATCCATTGAGACTCACTATGTTATGGTCTGAGTGATAATTCTGCATAAAGAGACATATTTGGGCTACATTACAATTGTGATAGAGCAAGGCATTTCATGGAAATATTTAACGATAGCCCCAACACATTAACTGAAATGACTATGAGTATTTACATGAATAGGATTCTGCTTAATGAGACTATTCAAAATTTGGGACAATTTTCATCTATCAGGACAGACTGAAACCACACTTAAATTAACAACTTACTTTACACTTTTGTATGAAACTTACTTTCATCTCCTGTTTCAAATTCAAACTTCTGACTGTAGCCGCTGTATCCTGTTGCAGTCCTCACTCGGATATGAAAAATGTACTTGGTGGCTGGCTTGAGACCTGTGATGATGACACTGGGAGCCTTGGACCTCGTGGAAGAATACGTGAGTTGCTCATGCTCCTGGGGACAAAGAAAAGAAGAGAAAGGGAATGAAGCAGTTATTCCACTTTTACCTGGAGACACTGCAAAATTAAGCTGAGGAATTATGCTCTATCAAAACTATTGATTAAAAAGTGGTACAAGCATGGTTTTCCATAATTTGGCATTTAGTTATTTATCAATTATGATGCATATGATATGGCCTTGATTTGGCAATTTATTGAGAATGATGATTGTCTTATATAAACTGCATTTGTATTTTTGGCGATTTGGATTTCTGACCCGACTCTAAGGCATGGTGGTGACGTGAGAGCAGGTGTACACAGAATGGCAACGGCATCTGAAACAAATGGGCACATTAGGTCAGACCACACCAGCAGAGTGCAAGGAGCAGGGGTGGGAGAATTCAAGTACCCGCTACTCACTTCTACCCGCAGGTAGTGCCAAAATGCCGGCGCTATCCGTGGGTAGACCTGTGGGTAAAAGGAAAAATACATTAATTGCTTTTTAAAGTTTGAAATCTTTTATCCCAAATCAATTGCACTGTTCTGAAACTCAGTGAATCCCCAGTAGTAACACTGAAGTTAATGCAACTTAAGACATAATACGATGAAAATTTCCTTTTGAGGGAGAATTGACTCTTCTGAAAAAATACCCCCGTTTATTTTGTAAAGATGTACAAGATACATCATGACGGTGAGGTAGATTTTACAGTTTGTCCACGAGGGAGCATCAAAGACAGAGAAGAGTATAAAAGACAGCACTCCTGAGAAATCAGGCAGGACTGGAGGCTTGATTCCTGGTCACCTGCAGCTAACTGACTCTCTCTCCTCACTAACAGGAACCACAACTAACTGAATGCCCTAGTCACTCAGAGTCTCTTAAGTGCTTTGTCTTGTCCACAACCTCAGAACAATTTACTTGTGCCTTTAAGAGACTGTCCACGATACGCTGGTGCTGGGAACACATTAAACTCAATTCTATTTTTGTATAGTGTTACTGTTCAATAACTTTATGGTGTTCTAATAGGGTAGCTGAAAAAAAAAATATGAACAACTCTTCTAAATTCATAGGTCAAATTAGGCCACCAGGTCCTTGAATTAATTCTCTACTATTCTCATTGTAATATATCTAGAGATTCTCAGAGATAGAAATGACTTTCAAGATCATTAATTAAATCACTCATTTGATGCTTATATTCGATCTGTCATATTTCATCAAGATCCCATTTAGCCTTTGCCTGAAAAAATCTGTTGTCCAGAAGACCTTCCAGATTAACAAAGTTATAAAAATCTACATACGGAATGTAACAAACTGCATTTATTGGCCAGTGATGCTACAAGAACTATGTAACTATGTAACTATGAAAATAATTTCCCTTATGCTACTTTTGAAAAAATTCCTTATCTTAAAAGTCATTTTTAAACTTTATGGCCATATTTGTCAGAACTTTACATGCTACATGTCTAGCTGACATGTAGCTGACATGTCTAGCTGAGGAACTGCATTTGTCATCTAACTCCAAATAGAACTGTTTATTAAACACAAACTACAAAGATAAATGACTTAACAATAGCAACACTTTAAGTAAAAGGACAGAACAGATAAACTGCAACTTATATTTATCTCTAGGTCACTTCTAGATTAGAAAGTAAATAAATATCTGCCTGCTATAAAATCCAAGAAAATAAAGTCTATAAACTCATCAATGGCAGTAATTATCTGCTAAGGCCTTAAAGAAGAAGCTTTCTAAGATCAAGGTCTTAATAATTAGGGGGCTTAACACCCATACAGTGCAGAAAAAAGTTTTCCCGGTGGCACAATGGTAAAGAATCCACCTGCAAATGCAGGAGATGCAAGAGATGTAGGTTCAATCCCTGGGTCAGGAAGATCTCCTGGAGCAGGAAATGGCAACCCACTCCAGTATTCTTGCCTGGGAAATCCAAGGACAGAGGAGCCTGGTGGGCTACAGTCCACCAGATGGCAAAGAGTTGGACATGACCAACCAACTGAGCATGCGCTACTGGAAGAGAGGATCCCGTTTCAGGTAGAAGTTTGGAAGAACTTTTGGATGACTGTTCATTCTCAAACAAAAGAGGAGAATATTTCATCTTTCAAAGAATTTTCTGCAACATAAGAGTTACTATGTATTCTCAGTAGCATTTCACAATAAGTAATTATGATTGAGAGAATTTTAAACTCTGAAAAAGGAATTTAGTCTTATCCTTAGGGAGAGAGGATACAGATACAGATTGAAAGGTTAACTTAGAATGGCCCCATAACAATACAAAAACGTAGTGACGTGAAGGTCACTCAGTTGTGTCTGACTCTTTGAGATCCCATGGACTATACAGTCCATGGAATTCTCCAGGCCAGAATACTGGAGTGGGTAGCCATTCCCTTCTCCAGGGGATCTTCCCAACCTAGGGATCGAACCCAGGTCTCCCACATTGCAGGTGGATTCTTTACCAGCTGAGCCACAAGGGAAGCCCAAGAATACTGAAGTGGGTAGCCTATCCCTTCTCCAGCGGATCTTCCCGACCCAGGAATCAAACCAGGGTCTCCTGCATTGCAGGTGGATTCTTTACCAACTGGGCTATGAGGGAAGCCCTGGGAAGCCCCAATAAAAACAAAACTTAATAGTAATTTATTACTCAGTAAAGTAACCAGGAGCAAAGGACTCCTTTTGCAAATAGGTTTTAGCATATCTACAGTTACACAGATGTCTGTAACTACCTCCCTGGAATAAAAATCACTAAGTAGGAAGTATGCTCACATGGATCCTCTGTCTGAATCACAGCATCACAGGGCTGCTGCCCTGCCCCACATCTTGCCTCCTCTGAGCATGCCAAGGAAGGCAGCACAGAGAGCAGCAGGAAAATTCCTCCTTCCAGGGCATCGCAGCCCTCTCTCCTCCTGGTGTTTCCAAGCTCTTAGAAAACCAAGTTAGCACTTGTCCATGACAAGCATACGGCACTACCGTCCCAGAGTAATTTTGCTTAATTCCCTTTCTGTGACACAGCAACTCCAGTTCAAAGTAGCTGTGAGCAGGCAGAGACAGTGCTTTGCCACGGATCCAGGAGGGCTCAGGTCTGAGCATGCCTGAAGAGGGGACGTATGAGGGTTTTCCTAGAGTCTGTACAGTATGGAATTGCTATTTGTATGCTACTTATGTCTTCAACTTTGCTAGGTAATATATTCCAGTGTTCATATTACTATCTTACAAGCTCTTCATCCTTGGTAAATTCATAGTAAAGTCTTCTCATTCTTAATGTTATTCAATTTTAGTACTTGTTTTCTTGATCAAGCTTTCCTGAGGCTTGAACCAACTTTTGGCTTTCATTCTTTGCTTTCTATTTCATTTAATATCTTATCTTAATATAAATTATTTTCTTTCTTCTTTCTTTGTATTAATTATGTTGTCTTCTAACTTCTTAGATTTCATGCTTAACTCACTAATTGTCAGTATATCTTTTCAAATACAGTGTAAGTCTACAAATTTCTAAGTATTGCACTACTGTACTTTACAAGTTTTCATGATATATTATTAACCAGTTCTAAGCATTTACGACTTTCCATAAATATACTATTTTTTACTCTTTGTGAGTTATTATTTGCACACTTTTAAGGGTCAAAACAGGTTGTCAGGCAGTAAATAAATAACATTAAATGAAGTTCCAAAGGCATAATGCCATGGGTTGCAAAGTACACTGGACTGCGGTAAGATAATGCTGGCAGTCTTACGTACTAATGCTTATTGGCCGAACATAAAACAGTTTTTGCACTATTTCCCCTTGGATAAGCATGGCTAATAGTATCAATTGTGGGACAAAATATTTAGTAGCAATGCACTTAATGTAATGATATGTATATAATTTCTTAAATAAATGTGTACACAATTTCTAGTTTATATATTGGTATTCACATATACTAAAAACAAAGTCCAGAACTAAACAGTGTGAATACAGGGCATTTACTGTCAAACAGAACATGCATCTATTATTCTCTAGAGATGGAGACATTTATTTAAGGTCTCTTCTCAAGGGCAGATCCTGCATCTTAGACTCAAGATCGCCCCTTTCCAGCTTCTGAGAATCTAGTTTTCCTGGGAGTCTAATCTTATTGTCACATTGAATCTTTCGTTTACCTAGAATGCTCTAAGCTTTATCTATATACAAGTCAACTTTTCATGGTCACTAACAGGGATGTTCTTACTAGAGTCTGGACCCTCTTAGCATTCAATTTGGAAACCTAAATTAGTGAAAAGAAAATAGGCTCAGGTGTCTAGTCACTATGGCTCTATCTTTCTGTAACCAAAGGTAATGTGATCTGTATCAACAGAAGGCTGCACGTAAATAATTCTGGGTTGGAATTCTCCTGTCCTGGGCTCAATTTGGGTTCTGCTTCTATTATGTACCTTGGTAAGTCACCTCCAAGACATTCATTTGCTCATACAGAAAATTCATTAATTCCATTGATGTTTATTGAATGCTCACTAGGGTAAGGTTCTGGGGCACTATAGTAGATTTGGCTTACATAATTACCAAAGTTCTACCTAAGCAATTATATTCTGTAATTTTTATGTCGGAAATAGAAGCCTGCTCTCCTCTGCTGTGGCTGATTCTCATCATGCCTCATCTTACTCTCTTGGGTTTCCCAGTCCCACTTATGGAAGTAGATTCAATAGGCCCATAAAGTGGTCACTTTTTAACTGGTTTGCTTTCTCTTAAAGTCTTTGGCTGATCACACACACACACACACACACACACATACACACACACACACAAAGTCTTTGGGTCTGAACGGATTTCTATAAGATTTTTTTTTCTTAAATTTTAAACTAATTTGATTATACATGTGGTTAAAAGTTATGTTTTAGAGATTTTGCTACAGACATATAGATCTACATATATACCAGCAGTCATAAGGTAACAACCATGATTTATGCAATGCTTTACAGTTTTCAAGGTATTTTCACACACATTCTTTATGTAATACTCATAATAATCTTATGGCAAGAA